TATATAGTTGTGACGGGGTGTATGGAGTTGGAGGTGTGATTGGTTTTGGAAGTTACCGAGTTTGTGTGGGATTTTGTATTCTATATGGGAGCATCATAGGTTTTAGTTGAGTTTACTCAGTTTGTTGAGGTTTCGGATTGACTCAATATATTATATAATAATGGTGGGCTAATAATTTATTTATTTATTAATTTGATTAGACGGGATAAAGCAATAATATTATGTTGACTATCAATACTACTAAAGAATTCATAAACTTATTATTTCCCCCTTTTTTTTTTGTAAATTATTCATGTTAATACTATTTTAATTTTTTTATTTTTTATTTTGTTTTTCTGATTTTTTTTTGTGCATCATGCTCAATCAAAGAAAGAGGAATACATAATCATAATCATTAGATCGGATGATCCAACGTTTAAAAAAAGTCAAAATTATACCTTTATTAAGGGCAATGTAGTAATGTTCCATACCTAAATAGAAGACCCACACACCAACCACCCACACCCTCTCTTTCGCCGCCACATGTGGATACTCCGTGCAAAGAATGTTACTTAATAAATTAAATGTGCGTGTTTTTGGTCCGTGTTTGAGGTGTGAGTATAAACAACTTAACATGAACCTCATTTAGAGACATGTCTAGCAAGCTGAACAAGCCAAACTTACAAAAAATATACTAGCATACAAAAAGCCTGCTCTGGCGGCCATCATTGTAAATTAAACAACTGCTAGTCATTTTTATTGGAGAACCTTTCTCCTCGTCGATCTCTCAGTAGACCGGCGAAATTGTGTTGATTCATTGCACAACTCTATATTAGCTTCCCCACATCAAACACTTATTATCACTTAACTAACCTTATGTTGACGGGCGTTTCCGGTCAACGGTTAAAAAGATAAATAATGAAAAAGGAAATAATGTAGAGACAAGAAAGTACGGTTTAATTGCAGTTTTATTGGTAGATCGCTAGGTCGGCCTCTCGTACGAGGTCGGCACTTGCAATATTCTTACAAATTGTTACAGAGTAATTATTCGGGTTTTAGAGAGAGAGCAGAGAGAAAATAGCTATTACAGTTGAGGTTCAACAACCCAAAATAAATGAGAAGGGTTGCTATTTATAGTAGCCATTAATGTGGCACTGTTCAGATACTGTTCATCCGTCTTGTCGTACAGTGTTTCTGCGGGACAGTCCGGCGCTTCTCTGACAGCATTAAATGCGATTTGAGGTTTTCCTCATCATTAGGTGGCAGGCATTTAATGCTGACAGGCTTTGTGTCTTAGCTAGGAGGAGTAGGTCTGCAGGCTATGATGTCCCATCCATTTAGCCCATGATTGCCCTCTAAGTGGCATTATTATACCATTATAGAGACCGGCATCCTCCGTCATAGAGACCCGCTCTGGGACCCCAAGTCGGCACCTCGGCATCTGACTTTCATCTGTTCCCTTGGTCCTGGGGAATCTTTCTTTCAGTCCGTCATTTCTCAGCCCGGCACCCGTGGCGTCGTAATTGAAGATAGCGAACTGACGAATGGTCTCACGGCGATGTCAGGGTCAAAAGGTTTTCCGGTCCAGCTCGGCACCTTATGGGTGGACCGGGTCTCTGGTTCGGCTCTCGGAATTGAGTGGTCCGATTCAGTCTCACGGGCGAACTCTGATATCAACACCTTAATCTCCTTATTCGGGAACGTTGGCAATTGCTAGTCAACAACAGTTGTGTGTGTGTGTTTTCTTGTTATTTAGTACCATTAATATCTAGTTTTTATTAAAGAAAATCGATAAAAAAATTAAAAATGAAAACTTTAAAAAGTTGGAAGCAAGTTTAGTATGACTTGCTGTGATATTTTATCAGAGTGACAATTTATTTTACTAAAAAAAAATCTAAAAAATTATGAAAAGAAATGAATATGACGGCATTCTATGTTCCTTTAAACATTTCATCAAACCACAAAGTTTTATATTTTCTTATAACTAAAGGACAATTCCAACAATTCCAATAACTAAAAAGAAAGGAACAAATAGTTCATTGATTCCGTGTTCAACGAACTCACAGTGAAACTTAACATAAACATAATAATATACAAATCCCACAAACTTACCATCACCCACAAGTACATTTGATAACACAATGATAAAAAACACGCCCTAACTCTTACAATCAAACATCTCCAAACGCCAAATTACGAATGAATTTAGCGACCGGCACAGGGCTCGTGGTCACTATATCCAACTTCCCACGAGCCGACGCCTTTCCAAAACTCGACAAACCGAACGCGAAAAGCTCCCCGAGCGACAGCCTCCCGGACAAGAACCCTTGCCAATACCGAGGCTCGACCTCGAAAAAGCTTTCAACAAACCTCCTCGTCTTCTCCAAATCAAGCCTCAGCATTATCTCCATCCCCAAGTTCTGAAACTCCCTCTCCCTCCTCTTCTCCACCGGCCACAAGCTCTCCCACACCTTCCCACACATCTCGGGCCCACGAATAACCGACCCTCCGCCGCCACCAAGGCACTCGACAATCGCCCCCGCGACAGCTGGCGCCACCGCCATCGCCCGAGCCAACGTGTACCCAGTCGCTGGGTGCACGACTCCCGAGTTCGCCCCAAAAGCCATAACGATCTGCGGAATCTTCGGTAGCGGGCCCCCCAACACGATGAAGCACCTCTCTTCCTCGATGACCGTCTTCACTCGAATCCCGAGATGCCTAAGCCTCGCCGCCATGCGGCTCTTGGTCTCCGCGTAGGATAAAATCGGGCGCGCCACGACCGAGGTCTCTTCTAGAAAGATCAAGTTGGAGTCGAACGGCATCGCGTAGAGAAAAGTCGGGAGTTTCGAATTTTTGGCGCGTAATTCCGATCCGGCTCGTTTTCCAAGTGGGAGTCTCTCCAATCCATGAGGAGCATTTCGTTCGCGTCGAAAGGGTACCAGTCAACCTCGGCTAAAATCCCGTGCGCGATTTGAAAACCGGGGTTCCTCGGCTTGTCGTACTCGACGAAGTTGGTCGAGCACCCGCTCGCGTCGACGACGAGGCTCGCGCGGAGCTCGGAACCGTCGACACACGAGACGAGAGATTCGAATTCTGAGTGCTCGACTTTCCACGCCTTTGTCGCGTGGAAATATACGCCGTTCGCGGCGCAACTGGAGAGGAACCTCGTTTTCATCGCCTTTCGATCGACTCTTCCGTAAGGGCGGTCCAAGTGCTTGGTGTTACGGTCGTCTATGATGATAGAGGCCGTGGGCCACGTTTTGTCGAGACAGTCGCCGAGTCCTAAAGTTTCGAACTCATCGACCCAAACGCCGTAGTTGTTGGGCCACGTGGAAAGTGGGGAAGGGTCGACGCAGCATATGTTGATTCCGTGTCGGGAGATGAGGTCGGCAAGACGGAGGCCGGCTGGGCCGGTCCCGATTACGATCACGTCGAAATGGGTTTTGTCTGAAGGGTTGAAGAGAGGGAGGTCAAAGTCCAATGGTTTGGGCTTTGGCATGGGCTTTATATCAAGAAAGCTGCCAACTTTGGTGCTTCCATGAACTCTTTGGCGGTTTTTTCTTGATGAGTTTTTTTGGGATAAAGGTCTGGAAAATGGAGTCTGGAATGTTGGAAAAGATGGCTTCGACAAAGAAAGTGCGTAACTTGATGACGGCATGAGAAGAGACTCCATGAGACAGAGTAGAGAGAAGGGATAGGTAGGACTTAATTAGCACGACCAGGAAAGTGGGGCTTTATAACCTGAAAATGGAAGATATGTGCAATGAGAATGAGAGAGGTTGTATAATATTAGTTTTAAATTGACTTGATGCAAAAGAATTGTAGCTTAACGGTCCTCGGTGGTGAGTTGCCATATGGGGCACATGATGATGCATTTAAGATTCTTGCATTGCATAGTATCATTGGAGTAGCATAGATTAAATTAACCTCCATGTGCTAATTATTTTACAACGTTGAATTATAAGTATTTATTTAATTTATTAAGCCATGATGAGTTATATTATTAAATAATTAAATAATCATATATATTATCTGCACCATCTTATCCAATCATAGTCAACTATAATATTAAAAAATGTCAAAGAGTTTGGACTGGTATTCACATTGCCATTTGCCACGAATGATTGATCCAGACGGGCCTGACATTACCGGTCCAACCATTCACTGAATCAATTGTTGGACCATATAATTAATTTGAAAAATATTAAATTCTAATTATTACTTTTTATAATATAAAAATAGAAATAAATAGTTTATATGTAAGTTCTATACTTTAAAGTTTTAATAATATTGTATCTTGTCATAAACTTACCACATCAATATATATATACATAACTTTATTTTTACAAAAACTAAATTGTATAATGACTAGGTAAATGTGAGTTATCGATTGAGTCATGGCCAGTCTCTATTTTGCCAACCTGTCCACAAAAACCCATCAACAAAAAATCGTCTGTCGGAAGATTGCCTAGACAAAACCTGGCTCATCACCTGTATTCACATCAACCATAAAAAAACCAAGTATTTGGGTAGAGTCTGTCGGAAGAAGTTGAAATCAAAATTGCTATAATTTCGGTGGCCCGGACAATGGCGGCGGAAGTCGCGGAGTGCCTCGGGTCGACCCGGATGATCCGTGGGGCCCCGCTCATGTGCCCCATCACCCTTTGGTAACCACCTATCCAAAATGTACCAGCCTTTAATTAGTGTTGTAATTGAACCGAAAGAGTCGAGCTTGGGCATTTCGAGTGCGTGTTCGTTTCCATTCGTTTATTTTTCGAGAAAAAAAAAAAATCGTGTTTGAGCTCGTTCATTTAATTGATTGTCATAGTGCAAGTTCGTTCTTGTTCCAATAACTTAGGAAACAAATCTTTTAAATATGATTGATTAACTTGAAAATTGTTTGTTCAAACTCGAAAATATATATATAAAAAAAAGGAATTTTTATATTTTAAATTTTTTTTTATCAAAAATATTATGTAAATACAAAAAAATAAAATTAAATTATATTAAATAAATATTTGCGAATACTATCAAACGTATGCGAACGAGCTTGTGTTTATTGGATTATTAAATGAGCCTAATTTTCTGTTCGATTTCTGCTCATTTAACAAACGAACGAGCTCTTGTCGAACACAAACGCAAATTCGAACGATGAGTTTTTGTTCACGAACGTTTGGTTCGTTAACAGTCTTACCTTTCATAATAATAATGTTTGGAAACATGAACATTGAAAACTAATACAAGGGCTCCTTAATTGCAAGTGTTTTGAATGATTCATGCATTATGTTATTTAAAATTGTAGAAAAACTTCTCCAATGGATTCAAGGGACAAATATGATCGACAAAAAATTGGCCGATAGGCAATTTCATCAAACCACAGTTTGATTTTCTTACCAAAGGACAATTCAAACAATTACAATCACTAAAAAGAAAGGAACAACGTTCAGTGATTCGATGTTCAATGAATTGATAGTGAAACACAAACATAATAAGATAAAATTCAAATTTATCACCACCCACACGCATTTTTTATAAAACAATGATAAAAAGAAGCACAAATTCTTGTAATCAAATATCTCCGATCGCCAAATTTCTCAGGAATTTAGCAACGAGCACAGGGCTTGTGGTCACCAAATCTTCTTTTTGTGTTTATATTATATTATTTAGTTAAATAAAATTTATTTGAATAATTTTATTCGAGACAATAATTGCTTGTGTTAGACTTCCATTAAAATATTTAGTATACAGTTGAATTTTTTGATTTTACAATTTAACTATATATTTTTCTGATTTTTCAAATTAAATTATATTATATAATAAAAAAGTAAAATAAAAAATAATATCAAATAATATTTCTACATTAGCCAATATTCATTGATTTGGTTGTGATTTATTATTATTATCCCGTACACAGCATGTGTTTACGCCATAAACACACCTTTTGAATGAATTTGAGACGTGTTTCTGGCGAGAAAGAGATCATTTTAAAAAACTCAACATTAATTCACACAAACTTATTTTATTCATTTATTTCTTTTTCTTCTTTTTTTTTAGCCCAACTCCAACATGCATAATGCAACAAAAAACCTAATCTCCCACAATTGATGATGGCATTCTAAAATTAAGAAAACCTTAACATCATCAAAACCAATCCATAACCAACCACTTTGATGATCATCAGCACTATAAATTGATCACCCCCATTAAAACCATTTTCTCCTAAAAAAAAACTTATAACAATACATATATATCTTCATTTTTCTCATCACCAACATTTAAACTTCTTGAAGAAAAAAAAAAAGATGGATTTGACTAAAACGAGTGGTGAGACAAAGTCCACCAAATCGAAAAATGTTCCCTACATTGCAATGCAAGAAAGAATATACGGGCCGTGTAGAAGAGGGTTAGCCATTCTCGACTTTATTATGAGGATTTGTGCGCTTGTGGCGGCTTTGTCAGCAGCCACAACTATGGGCACCACCGATCAAACCCTTCCTTTCTTCACTCAGTTCTCCCAATTCCAAGCTAGTTATGATGACCTCCCGGCCTTCAAGTATGTATCGACCTTTAATTTAAAAAAAAAAATAAAAAAAAAAATAAAGATATTTAGTATCACATTTTACCTTGATTTCATTCATCATGTTAGTTATTATGTGCATGGTTGTGTTTGTTCTACACAATAATATTAAATTTTAAAAGATGCAATTTATGACATACAATCATGTAATTGAACAAAAAAAAATTGAAAAAGGTTGTTATTAGGCATGTCTAATGGTTCATATCTTTCCTCACAATCATATATGCATAATTTCATACTGAAACATTCTAATTTTGAAATTAACATATACAAAATATGACAACTGAAAAATATGTATTTTTACACTATCAGCTAGACATTTGTGAACAAAATAAAATAAAATAAATAAACAGTATGGTATTGAATAAAGTGAAAAATCTGGCCAAAAACTTTGAAAATGATGCAGGTTTTTCGTGGTGGCAAATGCAGTAGCCAGTGGATACCTTGTCCTATCGTTGCCTTTCTCCATTGTTTGCATTGTTCGTCCTCAAGCTGCAGGAATTAAGCTCCTCCTCCTCCTCTTTGATACTGTAATTAATTAAGCCCCATCAAATAAATCAATAATAATAATTAACATACTTTAATTTATTTAAATTGTTCTCAAGTGTGATATTTCAATTTATAAATTATGTTATCCTAAAAAAAATAACAAAAAGTTGTCCTTTTTTGCTGTAGCTTGAAAAAATAATTAAAGAAAGTTCTCATCAGGCTTAACAGCGAATAAAACATTCTAAATCATAAAATCAGGCAATAAGCATACAATTATTTTTTTTTTGGTTGGGGACCTGAAATAGGCGCTGGTGGCTCTTACAACGGCAGGGGCGGCGGCGGCGGCCGCCATCGTGTATTTGGCGCACAACGGGAATTCGAAGACAAATTGGGTGTCTATTTGTCAACAGTTTAATGATTTTTGCCAGCGGACAAGCGGTGCGGTGGTGGCCGCTTTTATCGGCGCCGCCATCTTCATATTCTTGGTTCTGCTTTCTGCCCTGGCGCTTGCTAAGCAATGATAATAAGTCGGGTTAATTACGAAACTGCACCAAAAGTGGTTTTTAAGGAACTTTTTTTAATTAACCCAGATTATATGTGCACCCTTGCGTTT